AACAGATGTTATTGATGACAGACCGTGTGTGTGTTGTGTGTGTGTGTGTGTGTGTTGCGTCTCACGTCTATCATGTGACAGTGTGTGGTCTCGGTGGACTCGTCTGTCCTGCTGAGGACACTCTGACCGTCACTGAGTACTTCCTGAACGCCTCCAGGCGGTCCAGCGTCACCGCGGTGACGCCGCTCGCCAGCCGCAGCGACGAGGTCAGGACCCCGTCGTCGTGGCGACGGCACTCGACCTCGAAAGAGTCAAAGTCAGAGAGAGGAGGAGACCAGGAGCAGGACAGGGAGGAGGAGGACAGAGGGAAGCAGTGGATGGACCTCAGAGGAGACGGGCCTGAAGGAGACCAGGAGACAAGGGAGACATTGAGAGACGGTTACAAGCAGAGGAGAGAGAGTGGGTGAGAGTAGAGGAGACAATAAGGGAGGAGAGGAGACACGAGGAGAGAAGGAGAGAAGGAGAAATAACAAGGTGAGACGACACAGGAAGGAGAGTAGAAATGAAGAGACGGGGGAGATAAGGGAGGAGGAGACAAGAGAGGAGTAAGGTAGAGAGGAAGGGGAGAAAAGGAGGAGAGGAGACAAGGAGTAACGAGGAAGACAGAGAGGAGGAGCGTAAAGGAGAGGAGAGAAAGACATTGAAGGAAAGGAAGGAAGGTGATGAGGAAGAGGAGACAAGGAGATGTATGAAAGGAGGGAGGAGAGAAGACAAGGAAAGGAGACAAGTAGAGAGTCACAGTATTTATTTATGATCTTTCATTAGTTAAACATCGTGTTTTATTTTGCACTTTTATTAAAATTATTTAATGCAGAACAAATAAAACAATATTTAAATAAATAATCCTCAAATGTTTGTTTATTATCGTCAAATCAAATAAACGTTTGTCCCTTTATCTGATGAATGAATGTGTGTGTCTGTGTGTGTGTGTGTGTGTGTGTGTGTGTCTGTGTGTGTGTGTGTGTGTGTGTGTGTGTGTGTCTGTGTGTGTGTGTGTGTGTGTGTGTAAATGTAACAATCCAGAAACATTTAAACTCTTTGGTGGTAAAAAAGAGAAACATTCCGTTTAATAAGAGAAGAATAGGACACAAGGAAAGGAAAGGGAGGAGGGTAATAGAGGAAAGGAAGCAAGGAGAGAAAGCAATGGGAGAGGTGACAAGGAAAGAGGAGAGGACACAAGGAGAGAGACCTTCTTCCACCCACTCATTCTGACGTTCCTCTGGATTGGCTGGCTGCTGACAATAGGCCCGCCCTTGGCTCCGCCCCCGGCAATGGTCACCAGGGTGAAGTTGTACCTCCGGCCCGGATACATCCCGCCCACCGTGCGGCCGCTCAGGTGTGTCTGCGTGACGGACAGGCGGTCCGGAGGGGTCCACTGCAGGCTGAAGCTGTCGTAGTCTCCGGAGGCGGGACCAGACCACAACAACTCCACCGTGTCATTGGTCGGGCCTTGTTTGACGGACAGGTGAGTGGGCGGCTCCGGGGCTGCGGGAGAACAACAACGTTAGATGTTGACGCTCTTTTACTCTTTAACTGTGTTTCCTTTGACTCACCGGTGAGTCCCAGCGCTGACGTCTCATTGGTCAGTTCCCCGCTGTGCGTGATGACCTCAGCGCGGTACAGCCTACCGGGGACGAGCCCAGAGAACATGTGACTCGTCTGCTCCGCCCCCAGGGTCTGGGCCGCCAGGGAGGCTCCAGAGACGTCGTACAAGTACACCTTAGAAAGCACAGGATTCAGTACTGGTACATTCATTCAGAGCAGTACATGTACCTCTGAGATGCAGTACATGAGAAAGTACTGTATCTACCTCTTAAATGTAGTACAGTAAAAAGTACAATATCTACGTCTGGGATTTAGCACGTTGTAGTAGAGTAAAGCGAGTACCCTAAACGTGTACTTAAACACCCAACACTCCCCTCTTGAGGTACTTTTACCTGGTAGCTGCTGCGGCCTCCGTCTCCGTGCTGCCAGCCGACCGCCAGCCGGTCCGTCCGCCCTGAACTCTGAACCCGGAGCGAGGAGACCGCAGACGGCACTGAGGAGGAGGAACAGGAGGTCAGTGGGCCAGAAGGAGAAGAAGAACGAACCGAGGACGAGCTGTGGAGGGAGGGCGTCACCGACCGGTCCGGGTCACCACCGAGGAGTCGCTGCTCAGGTTCCGGCTCCAGCTCACCACGCGCAGCCGGTACAGACTTCCTGCTCGCAGCGCCGAGAAACTACAGCCGTCTGCAGCGGCGCCCGCCTTCTGCCGCGCCACGGGCTCCTGCAGCAAGTCAGCAGAACACGTATAGAACTGTAAATGTGTATATTTACAATGTTACGCGTTAATCTATGCGATTAATGTGGCCGAGATTTATGCAACAAAATAAGGTTTGTTTGTGTCCACAAACAGACTAATATTTATATATATATATATATATATATATATATATATATATATATATCACACTACTATACTATAACACACTACTGTGCAGGATAATAAAACAGCTTAACATTTGTGGAAGAGCGGTTTTAATATTTAAACCATTTTGACACTTTCTCTCGTGTTAAATCTGCATTCTCTGTAGTGACCAGCAGGGGGCGACTCCTCTGCTCCCATAGACGTCTATGAGGAAATGACTCTACTTCTCTGTAGTGACCAGCAGGGGGCGACTCCTCTGCTCCCATAGACGTCTATGAGGAAATGACTCTACTTCTGTGTAGTGACCAGCAGGGGGCGACTCCTCTGCTCCCATAGACGTCTATGAGGAAATGACTCTACTTCTCTGTAGTGACCAGCAGGGGGCGACTCCTCTGCTCCCATAGACGTCTATGAGGAAATGACTCTACTTCTCTGTAGTGACCAGCAGGGGGCGACTCCTCTGCTCCCATAGACGTCTATGAGGAAATGACTCTACTTCTGTGTAGTGACCAGCAGGGGGCGACTCCTCTGCTCCCATAGACGTCTATGAGGAAATGACTCTACTTCTCTGTAGTGACCAGCAGGGGGCGACTCCTCTGCTCCCATAGACGTCTATGAGGAAATGACTCTACTTCTCTGTAGTGACCAGCAGGGGGCGACTCCTCTGCTCCCATAGACGTCTATGAGGAAATGACTCTACTTCTCTGTAGTGACCAGCAGGGGGCGACTCCTCTGCTCCCATAGACGTCTATGAGGAAATGACTCTACTTCTCTGTAGTGACCAGCAGGGGGCGACTCCTCTGCTCCCATAGACGTCTATGAGGAAATGACTCTACTTCTCTGTAGTGACCAGCAGGGGGCGACTCCTCTGCTCCCATAGACGTCTATGAGGAAATGACTCTACTTCTCTGTAGTGACCAGCAGGGGGCGACTCCTCTGCTCCCATAGACGTCTATGAGGAAATGACTCTACTTCTCTGTAGTGACCAGCAGGGGGCGACTCCTCTGCTCCCATAGACGTCTATGAGGAAATGACTCTACTTCTCTGTAGTGACCAGCAGGGGGCGACTCCTCTGCTCCCATAGACGTCTATGAGGAAATGACTCTACTTCTCTCTGGATTTATTCCCTCAGTAAACGTTGTAAACATCAGTTTATGGTCTCAGTCTCTAGTTTAAAGTCTTCTTCAACACAACATGATGTTCATTTAGTGATTTATGGTCCATTTAGAGTCAAACAGACCATGAAGCAGGGGATGTTTTAAGGCGGGGCTAGACGCTGATTGACAGGTCCCTATAGAGACATAAACAGCTTCTTTCCCACCTGATGCTCCTTCCTGCTCCCTGCAGCCGTTGCCTCGGCGACACTGTAGAGCGACAGGTCGTAGCGGTCGACGTGACCTTGCGAGGGGCGCCAGGAGAAGGAGAGCGAGGAGGTGTTGGAGGAGGTGACGGTCAGATTACTGACGGCCGCCGGACCTGAAACAGGAAATTCAAAACATGCTAAACTGCACAACAAACGGTTGCTGGAGAGCTTTTGGTCGGCCGGGGCGTCTGATTGGTCGGCGTGACTCACGGGTCTGCCCCTCCGCCGTGGCCTCCGGCGACAGAACGCCGCCGCTGAGCGTGATCACCTTCACCCGGTACCACCGCCCCGAGGTCAGGCCCTCCAGGCGCTCGCTGTGGCGCCCCGCCGGCACGGAGCGCTCGGCCAGGAGGACGCCGGCCTCGTCCAATAGCTGCAGGCCGTAGCCGTCGTACACGCCCACGGGCCTCTCCCAGCTGACCGTCAGGCTGCGGGCGGTGTGGTCGTTGTCGGCCTGCAGGGCCGTGACGGCGGCCGGAGCTGCAGAGCACGGAATGAACCACCATCGTCACACGGAACCTTCTCCTCCCTCCTGAATCAATGCAGCGCTGTCTGACCCGTTCTGCCGCTCGCCGCTTTGCTGTTGTTCAGCTTGCCGCTCAGCGATTGGACGGTGGCGGTGTAGGCGTGGCCCGGCGTCAGGTCCAGGAACTCCAGGTAGGACACGTGTTTGGGGACAGGACGAGTCTCTATGACAACACCGTCCTGGAGACAGGAAGTGAGGACACATCGATCGATGCTATGAATACGTTTTCATACAGTTTGTCTTCTTTTCTCAGGGTCCTTTTATATCTATATCTATAAATATATATATACACAGAACACATATATATATATATGGTATATATTTGTATTGTATATTTGTATACAGTATATACGATTATCGTATATTACTATGAGCTTATCAAGGACATGTTCCTCTGAGCCAGATGTCTGCAGCTGGACTCACCGCAGTGGACAAGGACACAATGTACATGTCCAGGTCCCCGTCTCCAGGGGTCCAGGAGACCAGCAGCCCGCCGACGGGGGCCTTCAGGCCGGCGTAGGGCGCCAGGCGCAGGTTCCCCACCGCACTGGGAACTGCAGAAGAAGAGTCCTGGTTCAGATGAAGCAACCTGGACCCCAGTGTCCCCCCCAGTGTCCCCGGTCCCAGTGTCCCGGTCCCAGTGTCCCCGGTCCCAGTGTCCCCGGTCCCAGTGTCCCGGTCCCAGTGTCCCGGTCCCAGTGTCCCCGGTCCCAGTGTCCCCGGTCCCAGTGTTAGACACTCAACAATGCGACGCAACTAGAGGAAGGGGGGCTGGACCGGGTGCATTGCCCCCCCTCGAGGTCTCACCTGTCCGTCCCTCGATGAACTGGGCCCTCTGGTTCGGCCCACTGAAGGTGGACACCACGATCTTGTAGAGGCGTCCCGGGGTCAGGGAGGTCAGCCGGTGGCGTCGCGTCTCGCTGCCCAGCGTGACGGGGGGGAACGCCCTGACGTCGTTGAAGAGGAGCGTCACCTGGAGACCAGAGACCACGCGTAACCATGACGACTCACTTTGTGAGTGGGTCCTATGTAACGTGTGGGCGCACACCTCGTAGTGGTCCACATCCCCGGGGGCGGGGCTCCACGCGACGGTCAGCTCGCCGGTTCCTTCGTTGCCTAGCGACAGGTTTCCAACAGCCGCCGGAACTAAAGGACGGGACCCAAAACGTCAACCCGACAACATGGACCACCAGAACCTGGTCCCCGTGGTCACCGACTCACATGTGCGTCCGTCGGTGGAGACGCTGGCCACGTACTCCCCGCTCCAGGTTTCCACGGTGAGGGTGTAGAGTCTCCCCGGCGTCAGCGACGAGAAGACGCACTCGTTGTGGGCGGCGGAGACGCTCTGGTTCTGAAGAACACTGTTGTTGTAACGGATCAGAACCACGTAGCGGTCCAGGTCTCCTGCTGCACGGCTCCAGTACACCTGAGTACACAACACAGTACACAACACAGTACACCTGAGTACACAACACAGTACACAACACAGTACACAACACAGTACACCTGAGTACACAACACAGTACACAACACAGTACACCTGAGTACACAACACAGTACACCTGAGTACAGGAGGAACGCACCTTGAGGAAGTCGTCTCTCGCAGAGTGAACAGCTGTCGGGTTTTGAACGGTTTCTGGTTCTGAAAATAAAAAACACTTTTACGTTGTGATTTTTTATTAGTTTTAGAGAATTAAAGAAATAAAACGGAACATAAAATACACAAAAATTAGTAAATTAAACTAATAATTAAGACAAATTCACAAAAGAGTAAAATATCCTCACGCGTGCGCGCTTGAACCACGGTGGCGTTCTCCAGGCCGCCGCTCCTCGTCGCTATGACGACGGCGTACAGTCGCCCGGCGACGAGCGAGCTGAAGGAGCACTCGGGGGCGGAGGAGTGCGACACGGCGAGCGCGTGGACGGTGCGACTCCCGTCCACCAGGCGCACCAGGTAGCTGTCCACCACGCCGGGGGCCGGGCGCCACGCCGCCCGCAGGGCGTCCGACCGGCCGCTGTTAGAGACCGTCACCTCGGAGACCGACGCCGGGGCTGAGGGTCAGAGGTCAACCCATCAAGGTCGGGTTGTGTGTTTCATTCAGATAATAAAAGGTTGTGTGAAGTCAATAAGTGCATATCATTCAGTTAAACAGTTAACTAATACAAACTATATTAACTATAACTAATTAACTATATTATTATTATTATTATGAGTAACGCTGGTTGTTTATGAGCGCTGATTGGTCGCCATGTGAACGCACACAAACAGGCGCAGTTTGTTCTGAAAATAACTGGGACATTATGTGGCAACACAATAGGTGAAGGAATGTGAGTGTGTGTGTGTGTGTGTGTGTGTGTGTGTGTGTGTGTGTGTGTGTGTGTGTGTGTGTGTGTGTGTGTGTGTGTGTGCGCGTGAAGGCTTTGAGCAGTGGGTGTGGAACATATAAAAACCTCTTGGTAATTAAGCTATTGTTCTAAAAACTGATGTTATCACATAATACGGGGCACACACACACTGTGTGTGTGTATGTGTGCGTGGAACACAGAGTGACACACGCACACACTCTCTCGTGCGATGTGCTGATGTGGATCTATGTGTGTGAATACAGAAAAAGTGAATTTGTTCAGTTTTGTTCTTCTGAATGTTAAATAATAAACGCAGCGTTTTGAACAACAACTCAGATGTTTGTTGCTTCACTCAGTGATTCAGTTTATTTATGTGTGTTTTCTCAGAGGGAACCAACCCGTCCGTCCCTCCAGCGCGGTGGTCTTGGACTGCAGCCCCCCGCTGACGGTGGCGGCCTGCAGCCTGTAGAGGGCGCCGGGGAGCAACCCGCCGAGCAGCAGAGAAGAAGAAGCGACCGGAACGCTGTGGTTCTGAATCACCGCGCTGAGGGAAACAAACAAGCCTTTCAAAGTAAAAGACGCCTCATTCGTCCGGTGACGTCACGCGGAGGTCTCGTAGCAGAGCGGACAGCTAGCAGCAGCCAGCCGCCTTAGGCCACACCCACCTTCGGCCCCGCCCACAACCTGCATACGGACGTCATGGACACGTTCGTGTCTCCACCCAAAGCGAAGCGGTGTCACTGGGCGGGCAGAAAGTGCCCCGTTCGTTTCCGATAACAATAATCACCGCCTGTGTGACCCGCTCCAGTTGCCGTAGAATGACGTCGTGCGCTTAAGAAAAGAATCTAGAAAGAATCCGCACACACAGATTCGCTTGGTGTGCAGGAAGACGACGAGAGAAGCTTCCGCATTCTTAGCGACGCTCTCGAGGGTCGACCAGCACCGCCAGTTATTGTGCTGACGTCATCAAGGGGAGCGAGAACTGATTAGTGAGCTAACGTTAGCTAGCGAGGGCAGGCGACTCGATACTTAAATGTTTTTACACTAATTCGCTCAAACAAAGAAAACTGTGAATCAGAAAGGTTGGTTTTATGTTGCTTCACATATTGTTTAACACGAGAAACTACAAAGATATAAAAAATAAAATTGAATGAGTCTGATTTCTGTTTCTAAGAAAACACTTTGAATCTTTAGACAACTGCCCAACATGTAACGAGTCGCTTTGGATAAAAGCGAAATGACGTGTAATGTAACGTGAGAGTCTTATTACTGTCATTGGATGACAATTACATTTACACGCCCAATTAAGTATATTTATTATTTTTAATGAAAGGTGAAATGTTATTTAGGTTTAAAAAAGGGCCCCGATTTCTTGTGAAAGCATTGTAATATTAAGAGGTGAACGTCGCAGGCGGCACCCACCTGTCCCTGAGCAGGACCATGGTGTACGAGTCCACGTCCCCCGGTGGCTTGTCCCACGATGCCCGGAGCCTGCTGACCCCGGAGCTGCTCAGAGTGACGGCGCCCAGCGCCATGGGAACTGGGACACGCGGCGGGTTTCAGTCCTTCGTTTCAAATAAACACACGTTTAATGAAGTATGTGCACTAACTCACCCGTCCTCCCCTGCAGGGACACGGAGGCGTTGAGCGTCCCGCTCCTGGTTGTCACGGTGACGGTGTACAGCCTGCCGGGCACCAGCACGTTGAACGTGCACTCCCTGGTGTTTGGCTGCAGCTCCCTGGTATCCATGGTGACGCCGGCTACGACAAACAGGCGTCAATCACAATCAGAAAATCAATCAACTCGGACGAAAGTCGTCAATTTAACGATTATGGTATTTCACAAAAAAAACTATAATACAGACAGATTTATTGTCTTTAACCCTACTGGCCCCGGTACTTACCGTGGCGGATGGTCAGGAAGTAGCTGTCACGTGACCCGGAGGGGGCGTGGCTCCACATGGCGCTGAGAGACGTCTCGTCCGAGTGCCGTATGTGGAGGTCGTCCACGGCGGCCGGAGCTGAAGAGACGGACAACGGGATTGTTGACGTATTACACGTGTTTATCTACCAACAAGGTGCAGCTACTGTAATGCATCTCCGCTGTGACGTATGTACGCGTGTATCTGACCTGTCGCCCCCTCACAGCTGCTCTCCGCCGTCAGGCCGCCGCTCTCCACGCGCAGCACGGCTCTGTACGCCCTTCCAGGCGTTAGTCCCGTCCCGGGGAAGCTGAAGTTGGCGGCCTCTCGGCCCGGAGCGGCGCTGACTAACTGCTGGGCGCCGTCGAATAGGAGCAGCCTGTAGCTCTCCCAGTGGCCAGGGGGGGGCGACCAGGAGAGGAGGAGGCCGCCGGGGGAGGAGGGCGAGAGAGAGAGCGAGAGGAGGGACGCCGCCGCCGGAGCTGCAGGGGAGATGAAGACGAGATGAAGACTCAAAGGAAACAAAAAGACAGCAGAGAAACAGCATCCCGAGAAGCCGCTCACCTGTCCTCGCGGTGAGTTTTGATTGGTTCATCAGCTCGCCGCTCCTGGAGGTCACCTCCACCCGATAGGCCGAGCCGGGGGTCAGCGGGCCAGCGGCGACCTCGGTTTGGTCCGGCCTCAGCGTCGCCTCCCAGGAGACCGTGCCGTTGGTCGACAGAGTGACCACGAGGGCGTCCAGATCGCCCTCGGGCAGTTGCCACGACAACGACAGGCCGGTCCCGTTGCCGGGGTCGGCGGTGAGGTTGGCGACAGCGGCGGGAACTAGAGGACAAGGTTTAGATCAGATTGAGATTCCTTCCGTCACCGCGGTAACGTTCTCGCTCTGTTCGCACCTGTCCGGGTCACGGTTGTCCGGCTGTTCTTCAGCCCGCCGGCCTCCGTCACCATGGTAACGTTGTACAGCCGGCCCGGCGTCAGGTGGAGGAGTGTGCGGTTCGTCGCCGTGCTCTCCAACGTCTCGTTCCTCAGCAGACCTGCAGAAGAACAGGAGGCATCAAAGGTCACGTGACTACATGTGTAACCACTACAGGAAGTAGAAAAATGTTTCCATAAGTGTGTGTTTGGCGTCTTTGGCGTAGCGGTGCTCCGTCAGGTCCACTTCACCAGAAACGTACCAGTTAGGTCCCACAGCTGCAGCCTGAAGCGCTGCGTCCTCCCCGGGCCGGCCTGCCAGGAAAGGTCCAGGCTTCTGGAGGCCCTGAAGGTCACTGA